ACACATTGGAAGTTAGGATCTCCAACACACCAGTTCAAAAACGTGCTCCTAACAAGAGATCTCCACCCACATGACAAGGACTCATGTGGACAGGTGTTCTATCTAAATGGAGAAGCTGTGTAGTGGAAATGGGATGGTTACACTACCCGAGTCATCTCTTCAGACATGACATAAATTAGAGCATTTAACGTTTCCAAACTCCTGACAGCTGTCTGCTCTGTCCAGTTCCTAGAGGATAGATGTCCGTGTGTGTGTGTGTGTGTTTCATTTACTTGTCCCATATATGCCGTTGCAGTGTGCACCCTTGTTACCACTTAGGTGAAAGGCCAAAGACTGTGACTGGGTCATGGAAATGGAGCGAAGGGCTTGCTCCTGCTATGGACCTTCCAGATTGGAGTTCAGATACAGTAGCTAGGTACACCGTGGCAGTGCTATATTGCTTCTGTGGGTAATAGGAGGACTTCAGGCTTGGGTGCTTTCACACCTCCTTCCATAGACACCAGTGAGGGTTGAAATGTTCACCCCAGATTCTTACTGCATTTTGAAAGTTAGTCTAAATAGAATGACCGTATTTTGAGCCTGTTAATAACGAACGCAGTTAAACAGAAGACGAGTATATTTAATTAGAGAAACCATAGTCTCTGGGCTGGGCTTTGGGCCTTGTTCAGCTACATATGTTTTGAGGTAGTGTGATGTAGCAGGTATGTACATAATTTTACAAACTAATATATTTACATACAAGACGCCAAGTACATCTAAGTATGCAGTACATATTGCACAGCATGAGAACATTAACCACCTCTTCTTTGCTCTTTGGACAGAACTGTGAACACTAGAGTCCTGGAAATAACCTGATTGCACTTCAGTAATCCAGTGTTTTATCAAGTACCGAAGGCCTTGTTTTGAAAAGCTGCTTGTTAACCTTTACCTGTCTTCAAGCTTGCAAAAAAGACCAGCAGGGCAGGGATAATAAACTTCTAAATTTGCACCTTGAAAACTTTCAGGGAGCCTTCCTTGCTGCTGCTCCTTTTCCATGTGTTTAGCGGACTGTTTGACAAGCTTTCCTTGTTAAATATCACTTGTTCTCCTTTTACAAAATCTCTGCTAACCTGTCTCCGGGTCCTTTTATTTTCATATTAGTGTGATGTACAGTGCCTGTGTGCCATTGGAAATTTACCAGCTGGCCACTGACAAATATTTTTGCATGTTTTTGAAGTGGCAATTTGCAAATTTAAAATAAAAATTATGCATTCCATGCATATTAAAACCAAATCCCATCTGTTATTTTCCTGTAACATCTCTGTACAGTTGGTGATACTAATAGGATATTTAAGAAAAGCTAAATTGGTCAGTTATCTCTTTGATCCAACACTGGGTTAAGAAACTGTTTTGGATTATTTCTAATATGAAAATATTAGTAGTTTCAAAGTACAGTATTGTACAATCATTCATACATTTTAATGTTACTGGAACGTCCTAAAATTTTACAATATACACGAGTATGTATGCACTAATATACACTGCGAAAATGTTGAGTACCTAAATGTGTTTGTTATAGTGCAGTTTAACATTTGTCATGCTTTTTAAAATGTTTTCATTTGAATTACATATTTAAGTTTATCTACACTCATGTAAGTATTATGTTGTGTACATAACAGTATTAGGCCATTCAAGTCCTGGTTTTTGTTCATGTTAATTATTATACATGTTCCTGTACTAGCTTTATAACAATGACTGCAAATAGCATATGTATTCCCTTTCCTAAAGGCTGCATTAAGTAATTTAATCTACAGTTACTTGCTTTTTACAGCAGGAAGAGATTAACTGAGTATCTTTTGCAAATGGCTGCTACAAAAAAGTGTAAGTGCAGTCCTGTTCGTATGCCTTTGTAAGAGATACGGGATAATAATTTCTTTAAAGAATTGCTTTCTCAAACCCTGCTTAAATCCTTAGCTGACACTTCAGTACCAATTAATCATCTGACTGGCAGCTGTGTTTTCAGTGTTAAAATGCAAACGTTCTTGCTGGATCTAAATGTGTTCCTTTCTTGATACCACAGTTAAAACAGGAAACCCTCATCCTTCCTTCTTTCTCAACCCTTTGCTATTCCAAGTATCGTAGAACTGTTTTAGACTTAGAGCAGTGCCTTAGGTAAAAAGAAAAATGTATTTTTGTATAATAGCTGTTTCTGGCAGAGACAATCATTCTAACAAACAAGATGCTGATATTTTTTTCTGTGCAGATGTTATTTGTTGAATGCTCTGTGACAGCTGTATGTAAATATGTGTGCACTGTTAAATAAACTTTGCAGTTGAACAATGTGTTGGTTTTTGCAGTACTGAACATTAGGTTACTAGGGGGCTCAAAACTTTTCCCCAACTGCTTTGCCTGGAGATGCAGTCAAATGTTGACCAAAACAACCACTCTAATATACAATAGACTCCATAAATTAAGTGTTGCTATTAAAATAAAATGTGAAGGTTAGAGTCTTTGTATTGGGTAGTCCTGGTGGGCCTCTTGTGCTAGGTGCTGGAAAGGCACATGTACAAAACTAGTGATGCTTAAAAAAGCTAAGAATAAGTTCATGGAAGCCAGCGACTTACATTCTGACTTCCTTTTTTGCAGCACCTTATACTCAGTACAGGAAAGCAGTGACTGCTGGGAACATTACTGGACAATACATCTTGCTTTTCCAAATGGCTGTGAGATAGATAGATATAGACACACAGACTAGTTTGAGTAACCTTCGTTTGTTAAATGTCTCTTGTATTGCATCAGATCTACAGTCTTCATCTTGTTATACTTTTTAGTATATTAGTTATAGTTGGTATCTACTCCATAAGGCAGAAGTCCCCAAAGTGTGGGGGGGGTGCGGCTGGGGCCTGGGCCAGTCCCCACGGGGGCTGGGGAGAGAGCACCACCCAGCTCCACTTCTGGGCCTGGCCTTGGCTCTGCTCCTGGTCCCTCCCCCAGCTGTGGTCCCAGCCTCAATTCCCTTACCCCCTGTTCGTGTCCTCCCCCGAGCCATGGCCCTGCTCCCGGCTCTGTCTCTGTGGGGTGGGGGTGGAGGTGAGGGGGGCGCAAAGTAAAGTTTGGGGGCCACTGCCATAAGGAAGAAGCAAAGAACTTGCCAAAGTGACTTAGTTTCAATTAGCATTGTAGTTTCTTCAACAATCTATGAGAATTCTTAGTTTGTAGGAGGGTTGGAAGATGTGATGCCCTAATGCTAATTATACTTTCACATGCTTCCTGTTAATGCACTCAACTCAAGTGTGTTTTTTCACACGAATCGATAGGGAAAAGCAGTTACTGGAACTGAATATTTTTTACTTAATCATGGTTCTTGCGACTTCCAGTATTGGTGGCTGGAGCTATTCTTCTGCGATGTAGAATTAAAATATACAAGGGGATAGTCCTGCCATTAAGTTTTTCTGCCATTTTAAGTAGAAACTAACATTGACAGACTAGAAGTCTCATAGGTAAGTGATTATCAGCAACTCCCTTGCCCTAAACTATTACTAGTCTGAATGTCTGAGGTCCATTGATCATTACCTGGATGAATAATGGCATCTTACAAATTAACACCAGTTTAATTACCAAGAGGATAAATCATTTCCTTTAATGAAGTGCCAAACGATAGGATTTGGAGAAGATAAATTCGTACCTTGTCACTGTTAAACTTGACACTCTTTCCTTTCTCCAAGTATAAATCCTGTCACAAAAACCCATCTTCAGTATTGTTTAGAGTCACTTTGTAGTGCAACACAGCTTATATTTTCTTTTTATTAGACTGTTAAATTCTGGCCTCTACATTAATCTGATAAATTCTGAGATGACTCTTGTCTTTCATCATAAAGTTCAGTGAGCCTTATCGCTGCTGTGAAATTGAAAAAAGTTTCAAGAAATTGACTATTTCAGGTCCATAGGTCTTTCGTTTTGTTCAAAGATCAAAGGGGCTCTTAATTTCCATGGTTTTTGGAGGTCTGAAGAAACTGTAATTGTGCTCCGGTTTACCTTGCCTCTGCTAACACTGATTACGCTGCTCAATACAAGGCAATGGTTTGAGCTTTAAATAAGGTCCTGTAGCAGAGCATAGAGAACAACAAAGTATTCTTTTGGACTCCAGCAGAGAAGGGAATAGTCATACCCCATCCCTGTGTGTTTGAGGCACTGCTCAGCTCCCTCCATCTCCCCACTGTAGCGGTCATCCTCAAAACCTTGTGTTTGTTCGTCTCCTTCTATCCCCCTGTCCCTGCCCTGAATCACAATGGGAATTCAGGGAGTTGAGATGGCTTAATGTTGCTCAGGCTGCTCCATTTATTTAAAAATCGATTACATCTGGAAGAGGGATTTCAGAGGGACAGACACCAATTTGAGGTTAATTTTCCAGTAACACTATGTTGGCCACAGGTACATTTAAATACGCTCTTGGCAGTGAAGGTGTTGGCACTCAGTGTTAACTGCAATGGGGGAAGGAGGGGTCCTCAAAACAAGTTCAGTTTTGCAGTGTAATGGGGGGGAGGGGGGTCTTAGTGACTTTGACACACACTCCTTTGTATTTGTTTCCTACAAAAACCAGTGAAGAGAAACAATCGTCCAGAGTTCATGAATCCAAACAAGCATTAATCCAATTTTTATTAGATCTTAAAATAACATGTTGGCACGGTAGGAAAGCTATCCTACAATGTTTGAAAAATGCATATACATTCATTGTATGTTATGCTTCAAAGAATAACTTCTTGAAGGTGGTGAATTAGTAAACCAGGTGTAGACAGTATAATTAAAGTAAAAAAGCTGGTAAGCAAAACCCTCTGACAAGCCAATTTAAACTCAGGACTAAACCTTAAGTTAAAATTGCCATAAATCTGTTTTAGCATTCTCCCTAGCTAAACCACAATAGCAAAACATTATAAACAAAGCCACACCATATACTTGCGGTAACTTGCTTTATATGGTAGTATAAGCAAAGGCATTTAATGTCTGTATATAAAGTACTCATGAATGTATAATTACGAAGCACCATATCTATGATGCTGGGTGTGATCTTTACATCTCCTTACTGATGGTTTGGGGGTTTTTGTTTTAGTGGGTGCAGAGGTTGGTTTGTTCCTTGTCAAAAACCACTTCATTAAGTGTCAAACTTCAACTTAAGTTACAAAATCAGCTTTTGTTTTACTTTGTGCTACTCATCATGCAGAAGAGGCAATATTTAAGGACCTAAAATTCTGGCAGCTCAAGCTTTTGTGTTAATGGTTGTCATGAAAGCAAAATTAGTTTTGCAGCTGAGTAAGTTTTGTTATTGCAGAACCTTAAAATCTAAAATCAAACAAGCTGCAATATGTTGGGCCTGGAGGTCTGAACCATTCTGTAAAATGGAAGAAGGCAGGGTTTAATATGCAAGTGCCTTTAGCAGGCCTTTCTGAAGCAGCTCAAATACAAGAGCAAGGCTCCAATCCATTTTACAGCAAAGGCTGAGGCTGCTCCTTACAATCTATGGGGACAGTCAGCGCAGTAAATTTGCTCATTATGATAGACAAAGCGCCTGTTAGCCAAAGGACGGGAACACTTGGTACACTTGAAACAATAATCATGCCAGGATTGGCCTTCATGGCTGACCACAGTGGATCCTCTTCCAAATCCTATTTAGAAAGATAGTTATTACAGAACGTAATTAATAACATTCCTTTCAATAGAAAGTAACTTGTTCTTAACGTTTAGTGACTTAGAGAGAATAGAGTAGTTGGTTGCTTTCCAAGAAAGAACAATGTTCCCTCACCTGTATAAAATCAACCAAACCTATTAAGAGCTGGACTTGGTCCCAGATGCCCTGTCTTGTCTACCCCAGTAAACCATTTCAAACTCTGCTGGTAAAGGACTGGTGAAAACCCCAGCAGTTGGAATGCAGCTTTTTTGGTGCAATCAGGCCCCTTTAAGTTTCAGCAGCACCTCACTGCCCACATTGTCCTGACAACTTCCATTTTTAAACCTGGTTTGTTTCAAAATTCAAAAAAAAAGAGAAAAAAGAATCCTCTTCTCCCAGAGGGGTTTCCCAGACCACTTAGAGCCTTGTAGGACTCCACTTGAGGCAAGATCAGAATCAGACCCTGAGTGGCTTAGTCCCACCTCCTCTAGCACTGGTCTCCTGTCCAGTTTTGCCAATCCTGCAGTGAAAAGCCTTTTCTTGTGTGGGTCCTTCCCTCTAAACCCAGCCTTCCTTCAGCTCTTTCCAATCTCCCTGTAAAACAGCTTTTAATACATGTGCTACTCCTGTGGGAATTCTGCACAAAAAAATAAAAAATTCTACACATAATATTTTAAAATTCTGCATATTTTGTCATAACACAATATAATCAAGCTGGTTTCAATTATTTTGCTAATTTATTTAAACTACCATACAAGGGATGGAGAATGGGAGTGGGGAGCATTGGAGGAAATCACCAAACCCCCTTTGTCTAATAGTAATGTAGATAGTATTGACCCTTTACTTCTAGTTATTAGTCAACAAATATATGCAGCCATATGCTCAGTGTTACATCATAGGCAACTGAAGAGCAAGTGAGGGTTGGGGACTCAAACTCACAATTTATATTGGCTACTGACTGTCTCCAGAAAGGTCAGTAGTAAACAGTTCATGGAGACCAGTTCTAATCACTAAAGCACCAATAATCATTTATAAGGCCATATGGTCCTTTACACCACTCTGGCAATGTAAAGGAGCCTTAACATTTGTACACCTGTTTTATACTCCTGGGGGAATTCACTAAGCAAGCAGGCTGCTACATTCTGCTCTGCCTGAGGGAACAGAGTGTGACCCACACCTACATCTTTAGAAACACCCCAAAGTCCTGCCCTTCCACGCCAAGTGTGCCACAATAGCAAGCAAGAGGGACAGAGTGTCTCTGTCTCATGTGCACAACTGCCCAGCCCTCCACCCCCCAGTGGTGATTTACATCTCTACTAGCTGCTCTGGGTGCCCAAACCAACCTGCCTGTACTGCCAGGGAGGGGAGTACATGACTGCTCTTGCAGCTTCCCTCTCAGAAGTCATTTTTCTGCAGAGAAGCAAAGAAATCTGGGGGGGGCCATGAATTCTGCGCAAGCACAGTGACCCAGAATTCCCTCTGGAGTAATGTGCATGCATAATGCCCCCTGCTTAATTTAAACTTAAGGAATTTGGGGACCTTAACTGTGATCCCCCTCAGCTGGCTTAGTATTTAACCCACCTTCCCAAACTCAGGCATTAATTATCCTGCTAACTGAGGCTGCTGGGAGCTCAGAACCAGCACATACAAAGGAATTGCAGCTCAATTTACCCAGTTCTAATACTCTGACTTATGTTCTGCTTATGAACAAGTCTTAAGGCCTCCATCAGAGTGGGCTCCATCGTGCTAGGTGCTGTACAATGTATTCAAGATAGTCCCTGCCCCAGAGTTTGCAAGTGACCAGACATAACCGGTGGATAAGGCAAACGAGCAGGTGCAGTGAGGGAGATGGTAGAAATATAGCAGGCTGGGATCAGAGCTACTGCCTGGCTAAAAATGTACACAGCTTGCTCCCTGCGTTGCCATTCTCAGACTGCGGTTTTGTACGTGTCGTGTGGGAGAGGGGAGCTGAGGAGGGATTTGGAGGATAAGATGGTGGCTTTAGGGAAATAGTTATTTTCTACTAAGTTCTATTCCTTTCTATGAATTTTTTTAGATCTATGAACTATCAAATCCTATGCCTGCTATAAGAATGCTCTGATAGGTCCAAAAATCACCCCCTGCTTTCCACTTCATTCCTGTATCCAATTAGCCACAAGGAAGCAAACTAGCATCGTGTTCCAGTTCTGCAGGTCTAGGTCACTTGTTACTTAAAACAGGTGTTACAGTTTGGTTTCTTGCTGATGTTCTACATCACACACATTGTATCCACCTACCTGCCTCCTGTTTTCTTACTATAATTTATTACACCACTTTTAGCCCAAATGAAGGCCACCTGCTTCTGTCTATTTTAAGCCTATTCTTCTGGAGACTGCCCTGGGGGTCAGGGTGAAGGGGTGAGAAAGAGCCTGGACAAATCCTTAAGAGGGAGGAAGGGCTGGATAAAACAACGCTGCCTTTGCTGAGTCTCCGTATGCACTAACTGACCAACCTACCTGTAATGGGGTTCTTGCAGCTAGCACACTTCTTGGCAACAAATGTCTTGTAGCAATCAACACAGTAGAACTGATCCTCCACAGCAGTGAAGCGTTTCCCACCAATCTGCTTTGAGCAGCCAGTACAGATGAAGCACTCTGAATGCCAAGGCTGCTCCTGGTAAGTGATTCCTCCAGAAGTGATGGCCTAGGGCAGAAATGAACATAAAGGAAGCGTTATGCTGTAACCATCACTGCAAATCATTACAGGTAGGACAGCTGTGTTTCAGAACTGGGGTGAAGGAGCTTGCTACGGTTAGGTCTCGTGTGGGGTTGGGTTTACCTGTCCTCAAACAGCGACAGAGGGATTTCCCTTCTTTTGAGAGGTTTTTGCCTAAAAGACACCAGCACAAAGCTGGCTGAGTTTCTCTGTGCTGAACTCTGATCAGCCAGGAACATCCAGGAAATTTTCTCAGCCGTTAGTGTTACAGATATTTTACAGCACCAGCTTTGCACTAATGATTCCCGTAAAATACATCAGCAAGCAACAGCTGTCCACTTTTTAGCAGTGGAAGTGAGGATGTTGTTTGCTTTGCTTTATTCGTTATGCAGGGAAGCTTTCCTTTTGATGAAGGAGTCAAGAGACTAAGCCCAAATGCCTTTGCTTAAATACTGGCGTCTGGAAAAACTATGACAACTGCAGTGAAATCTTTGCTCAATCTGATGATTTTCTCAATGCTCCCGTAGGCAAAGGGCCCCTTCCCAACCCAAGAACTGCATGGTCACTTACTTTCTTGCACTTAACACACAGCTTGGCAAACTTATGTTCGTGGCAAGAGACACAGAAGATCTCCTCTCCTTTGGGGAAGAAGCTGCCGGTTCCTATCACTTGCTTGCACTGGCTGCAGGTGAAGCATTCCTTGTGCCAGAATGACTTCTTGTATTCAACATTTTGGTCTCCTGCAACAGAAAGCAATTTGTGCAGCCCACGTGGGTCACTATTAGTGCTTTCAGGGTAATTCGCCGGCGGGCTGCGAGACATTTTATTTACATTGACTATCCTCAGGCACAGCTCCCGGTGCCCACGGTTCGCCGCTCTCGGCCAATGGGAGGTGCAGGAAGTGGCGGGGGTGGGGCGCCACAATGCCAGTTGGGACACTTATGGCCAGCACAGTTTGGCATCAACCAGGCTGAGCTCGTGAAAATGTGGGCTCTGGTTCTGCTGCCTAAATGGAAGCTGAGGGCTTGCCAAAATCCTGGCTCTGGTGCGCGCCTCCAGGGAGCCATTGTCGTTTTTAAGGGACCAGGATTAAAAACCAAGTGCTAGGGAAAGTATAAGCACAAGGCTAAATCACAGACAGAAAAAGGCAAGGGCTTATTTTTAAATTAAATTAATGGAGATAGGATATCTCCTAGAACTGGAAGGGACCTTGAAAGGTCATCGAGTCCAGCCCCCTGCCTTCACTAGCAGGACCAAGTACTGATTTTGCCCCAGATCCCTAGGTGGCCCCCCTCAAGGATTGAACTCACAACCCTGGGTTTAGCAGGCCAATGCTCAAACCACTGAGCTATCCCTCCCCCCTAATTAGACCGTGTAAAGCTGGAACTAGCTAGGCACGTGCCAGTCACCCTGCCCCTTGAGCACTGGCTTGCATAGCTCCTGACTGGGGGGTTAGGCCACGACATGGTTCTCTCTGTTTTCAGGAACAGGTCCATCTTCCTGAGCAAGTCAGCCTGGTGCACGGCCATTAGCTGCTGCCTTCCGTGGCTTGTGCTGGATAGGACCCTAGTCAGAGTTAGATAAGGTGACCAGCTAACAAGTGTGAAAATTGGGATAGGAGGTGGCACAGGCGCCAACTTTCCTTGGCACCAGTGGGTGCTCCCGCCCCCTCCATGCCCCTATTGGATCCCTCCCCTTCCCCGAGCGCACCGCGTTCCTTCTCCTCCCCCCTCCCTCCCAGCGCTTGCCGTGCGAAACAGTTGTTTTGCGGCGCAAGCGCTGGGAGGGAGGGGGAGAAGCAGGACGCGGCGGCACGCTCGGGAGGAGGCAGAGCGGAGGCGAGCTGGGGCGAGGGGTGGATCGGGGAGCTGCCGGTGGGTGCAGAGCTGCCCCGGAGCACCCACGGAGTCGGCGCCTATGGGAGGTGGGGGTAATAGGTCCCTGTATAAGACAAAGCCCCAGATATCAGGACTGCCTCTACAAAAATCAGGCCATCTGTTTACCCTCGATTTGGACTATACACCAAGCTGGGTAACTAGCAGCAGTACCTGCAATAATCGCTTTGAAGCAGCCTTTGCATTTGTTTGCACCCTCAGTGGCGCTACAGCTGCTACACCAAACTTTATTGTTTTCCTTTAGCATGAAGGGCTCGCTAACCAGAGACGTGTAGCACTTAAAGCAGCGGAAGCAGTTATCGTGCCAGTAACGGTTTTTGAAATGCAGCTCCTAGGAACAACAAGAACAAAAATGCATCATTGTACAGTGCCATAAACCGCCCGCATCTCCTAAAGCATGAACGTTCTAATGACAAGATTTCACAATACTGTCGCACGTTTTCACTCCCCACTTTATCTACCAACACACGCACGTGTCTAGCCCGCAGCCAGCTCTGGGGTGGAGGACAGAAGCCAACCAGCCACCAAACAGCACACCAGTGGAAGAACAAGAAATATTGGTCATGGACACCAGGATAACATTCGATTCTTTAATAGCCCTCATAATATATAGGCGCTTGGTTTTTAAGATCTCATTTGAAAGGTCCACATGGGGTAGACTGCACAGTACTTCATCTATTTCTCTCTGATGCACCGAGTGGGGCCTGGCACACTTTGAAGCTAGGTTCCAAAGAGGGAAGGTGTTTCAAACCCAGTGCAATATACGCCCCTTGGAGAGTGCGTGCGCCTTTGCTGTCACCAGGCTCCCTGCAGTCTGAGGGGAGCTGGACTTTCCCTCTTAGTAAAATTCTAAACGAGGCCTAAATCACAGAAAAGTATTTGATTTACTGGCACTGCCTTAAAGAGGAATGTGGGCAGCTAATCTTCCTTGCTAACACAAGGTTATTCTGTGCAAACCCCAGCAATAGTTGTTGCTGGGCAAATGGTGACATTTTGCCTGGGCTGAATGTGGGGAAAGTATCTGTTGTGCAGTTTTGCCCCTTTTCACTGCACACACACGTACCAAAGAAAGTTACATTTAGCCCAAGCCCATCTTACTAGAACCTTGGATTGCCCAGAAAGCGTCCCCAAAGTGGCAGCAGAAGGCCAGAGCTGATTGACACATGCTGAACACATGCCCCATAACAGTTTTTCAAATAAAAATTTCAGGCAAGAACAGGAAACTGCAGCTGAAAGTTGTGTGTGGGGAATGGACTTTCAGCCTGATGTTAACGGATCTTCTAGCCCTGGGGCATCTAGCGCCACCTACGCTGTCCCTCCAGAAGCTTGACCCTCTTTCTCCAGGCCCACTCACGTTACACGCCGTGTACCTAGCCTCTCTTCCCCACTCTATCCAAAAGGATCTATCAAGTCTGCCCCACCAACTCTCCTCCCCATGCTGCTCCCTTTGCCCATTCCCAGGCTGGTCCCTTCTTTCAATCCACCCCTTGCGCTGGGAACAGCCTCCCCGGCATTGTTCTCCAAGTGCCTTCCATCAGCTCTGAAGGCGTTCCTGCACCATACAGTGATGTCTGCACGACCAACACTGTTCCTCCTGCCACTAGCACTGACCCTTGCCAAGCCACGGCTTCCAAACACCCCTCCCCCACTTTATTTAAAAAAGTCAGTGGAAAAAAAAGTCAAATGGGGACCGTCAAACCGCCTGCCAGCTGTCCCCAGGACAGTGCCCGCCCCACACCACAATCCAGTTGGAAGCCACTGGCCACTACTTTGGGACTGTATTGCCATAGGGGTCATGTGGGCAGCAGCCCACTGTACCTTGGCGTCAGCGCCAATGGGTTTCTTGCACTCGATACAGGTGTTGGCACAGAATTTTTCAAAGCACTTCACGCAGCAGTGGCGGCCCTCCTTCTGCACATACTTCTTCCCGTGCAGCGGGTCGCGGCAGTAGTGGCAGTCAAAGCGCTCCGACATGGTGCCCACGGTGTAACTGCTGGGCCCTGCAGGGGGAAAGGAGGGTAAATTGTACGCACAGCGGCAGTCCAACACACGTCAGATGCTCCTGCCCTAGCGCTGGACCCCCGGCTGCCTGCCTCTCCGTGACACACCTTCATGTGACAGCAGGACTTGTGTTGCCAGGGGCCGCCTGCCAGCAAGGCGAAGCATGTGATACAGCAGTAATTTCACCACAAGCAAAGTTCTTCCAGGGCATTTAATGGCAGGTGGCACAGAGCTGTTCATGTCGGGGGCCAGTTGCTCTAAATAAAACCTGACCTAGACAGCACAAAATAGACAGGTTTGGGAGCGTCTTCAACCAGCAGCGGGTCATGGTTGGGCTTTGCCAAGTAGCTGGCTCACGGCAACGCATTACAGGGCCTCGCACCTGGCTCACAGCCTCCTCCCACCCCCACCACAACAGGCAACAGGCCGTCAGTATTGTGCAGTGCTAGTGCAATATACTCAACGGCTACTTAAACCACACCCCCAATGTTTCTTACACACCCATCATCACAAGCAAAAGCTTCGCTGAGCCGTGCAGCCAGCAGTAATGCAGTGCACACACTCAGCCGCAGTATGAAAAAGACAATGTTTGTTATGTGCTACAATGTGGAACAGGGTTTCTAACAGCAATGATTGCTGCAAAGTCTGCACGAGCCCCTTCACAGATGCAGGACGCTGTAGACTCAGAGCTGCCTCTATACTGTCACCGCTTGTCCCTTGCCTGTCCCTTTGGGCCACAGCCAGGTTCACTGACATCATCTGCCTCCCTGGTGATGGCAGGTTGTAAAATTGTGTAGGTGTGTGCACGTGTATTTATGCAGTCATGGTAAGGTCTTGCGACTCAGGAACAACACACACACACACACACACACACACACACACATTTTATTCCTATCACAGCTACAGGGTTCTTGAGGGAACACTGGCACACTTACCCTCTGTTGCCACCAGAGGGCATCCCATACCCTGCCTGTGAGACGTGTGATACCTTCACAAGCAGGCCAATGTGCCCTACTGCATCAAGGAGCCACTGACACCCCCTCCATTGTTACTGATGGGCTTGCACACAGGGGCAGATTAAGATTTTCTGGGGCACTGGGCCAGAGCAAGTGGGGGGGGACCCTTGCACCTGCAGTCCCACCTCCATTCCGCCCCTTCCACCTGTGGCTCCACCCTTTATGCCCCTTCACCGGGGCCTGGTCCCTGTTCCATGCAGGGTTCCCCTCCCCATTCCGCCCACCCCACAACCCGTTTGCTCTTTTCTACACTTCCCCGCCCCACCCCACTGCAGCCCCAAGCCTGGAAAAGCTCTGTCCCCATGCCACAGCCCCGGGGCACAGCAGGGAGTGAGCGCTCCTCCAGGCCTAGGGCTGCAGGAGGGGTCCGGGTGCTGGGTAGGGTGACCGGACAGCAAGTGTGAAAAATCGGGACAGGGGGTGGGGGGTAATAGGCACCTATATAAGACAAAGCCCCAAATATCAGGACTGTCCCTATAAAATTGGGACATCTGGTCACCCTAGTGCTGGGGCTGCCTCTGCCACCCCCTCCCCACCACCACTTTTGCAGGGAACCAGAGTCGGGAGGGGGGTGCTCTGTGGGGCTTCCCCTATCCCACAGCTTCTGCCAGGGATGGGGTCAGGGAGCATGGGGGCTTCCCCGCCCTGCACCCGCCTGGGGCCCCTGTGCACCGCCATGTGGCTAATCTGCCACTGCTTGCCTCTGCTCCAAAATTTGAATTTTGCCAGTGGGAGCAGAATCCAAAAACTGTGTTTAAACTTCAGTTTTATATTTGATCTTTGGGGAGCCGGGGGGTGGGGGGGACTAAGTTTAAGCCAATAAAAGACAGGTCAGCGCAGCTGTGCCTGCCCGGCAGTCCTTGCATACAAGAGTACTTCACTCACAGTAAACCGAACATACACAGATTGATTCCTACAGCTTGTACCTGGTAATTGAAGAATTCAAGGAGTTCTTCACAATTTAACAGTGAAAAGTGAGAGAAAAAAACACCTTGATCAGCCCCCTCCTACGTTTTATATCACGCTCCAGGAGCTGGCTGGGATGTGGGAGAGGTAGCCTGGCATTAAGACACAGGAGCAGGAGTCAGGAGATCTGAGTTAATTCCTGACTCTGTCATTATTTCAGTGAGGACTTGAGCAAGGGGTACTTGAGTATGTTTACAACTGCACCCTGCATTGGTCTTAGGTTTAACATGAAGAAAAAATGAGCGAGAAATTGCCCCAAAGTAAAGGAAACTTCCTACCAACATGGCTCTGCTAACGTGTGACTGCTTCCTCTCTGTCGTTACAGGGATCCAGCAATAGAAATCTGGCTGCTAGCTTACATTTTGACCCTGGCCCCAGACTTGCAGGAGGCAGATGTGATGCGCTCATGATTCTGTAGAATTTTCCACTGGAAGTCACGTTTGCCAGCTGAGTTGCACCTTGGCTGGGAGTCAGGGATCACCCACCATAGATGTCCAACCCTGGCTGGTGGGTCCCTGCTCAATACCCCAAGGACAACTTGTGTTCCTGTTCCCTATACTTATCCACAGGTAGAAGCCAGGGAAGGTTTCTGTCACCATGGCATATAAACATCTGCACTGAGACACAACTCCCTGTAGTCATGTGTCCAGGGTCAGCAGGGGTGTGTGTGAAAATTCCTTCCAAAACAATTAGTCTTCTGACCATGGGGATGTAAAACAATCTTTGCTAATTTATCCTGACGGGCTGCTTCCCTCAGTTACACTCAGCAGCATTTTTTCAGCTTACTGTAATGAAAGTGTGAAGTAAACAAGAACTTTCCTCCTTGGCAATAGCTGGACAGAGAGATGAGGCTGAGTCCTGTCAACAGACAACGCCAAGAGGAAATTCAATTATTGGCTCTTGATAGCCCTAAAGCAGGGGGGCGGCAGGAAAACAGAATTAGATTAGACAACGTAAATGGTCCTTGCTTCCTGTTGTTGTTGCCGAAGTCTGTTCTCTCTGCCTCTTCAGCTCCCCACTTGCTGGCTTTTCAGGGGCCATGAAGAGCTACAGGGGAAAAATACTCAGAAAAATGCTACGCCCGAGCATGTGGCACTAAGCCCACCCCCACCCCCCCAAATGGAGTTCAGCCACACTACTCAGGATGGGGCGCCAGAAGCCCTTTGGAAGTACGGATGGCCCAGGGGCTAGGCCCCTCGCCTGAGACTCTGGTGCAATGCCCAGCTCAGCCTCCCCCCCAAAGGAAGGCGCCTTCTGCTGAGTCTCCAGGGTCCTGTCTTATTCCCCCTCTATTATCCACCAGTCCACAGAGAGCCAGGTGCCCGGGCTCCACTGCCAGCTACACCCAGCTGTATCTCACCTTTCCACAGTTGCCACCGACCATCACAAGGATGTCGTGATGCCTGCAAGAGCCCAGCAGCTAGGCGAAGAGCAGGCGGCTCAAATGAAACCCAAACAAGCCCCCTGTAATCTAGCTGCAAGAGAGAAACGTTTCACAGAACGAGCTGGGACGCGGCGTCATTCCCTCCCCCGCTTCCATCAAAGGCAGCTGCCACTCATCGACCTTATGGTGCAAAGCCTCCGGGGCCTGCTCAGTTCTTGGCTGGGGACTTGATCCTGCAGCGTGCTGCTCACTCTGGCCACGATTCAGCAAAGCGTACTGGCACATGCTACACCCGAGGTTAAAGCAAGAGCTCCGCTGGATCAGGGCTACGGTGCTCAGCATCTGCAGGACTGAGCCCTAAACCGGGAAGGCCAGGTAGCGTAAACGGTGCATAAAGGGTCTTCCAGCTCCAGCGTCCTTGGAAACTGCCCCTTCCTGCCAGGCAAGAACCTGGCCACTGCAGGGCACACGTTCATCCCCTCCAGAGCTCACGCCAGCTGGGGCTGAATGTGGCTGCAACGCACAGGCTCCAGCTACTGCAAAATGTGGCTGCTTGCCTCCTCCACGGGAAAAGCCACATGGAGCATATTACCCTTGTGTTGCAACCCTGGTGGTGGTTCCCACTCTGCCTGTGTAGGCAGGTCAAGGCACTTTCTCGGGCATCACAGCCAGGACGTCAGTCATTGCAGCTCCATCCATGCCCTCAGGGCCAATGCCTCTTTCAAAGGCCCTAGGAGACACGTGAGGGCCAGACACAGTGTTCTTGGTGGCGGGAGGACAGAGGAAGTTGGACTGATTCAGAATCTGAGCAGGTTTAGGGCCTGTGGCGAAATCCCCTTCTTTGAGAAAGCTTTGCCACCATCCCCCAGACAGACAGCAGAGGGAAAAGGGAAATGATGGATGTACATCCCAAGTGGCGCCTCCTTGTAAATATGCCCTGACATAGATCAGATCCTAAATTAAAGACCTAAACTGAGCCCTAACCTGGGAGGCAGAGTGTCTGGCACCTTCCTCTCAGCACCTGGGCCCTGCTGGAGATGGGATACTGGATTCGATGGCCCCCAGGTCTGATCCAGCCTGGTTATTCCTAGGTTCTTACCAGGGAAGAGAGACTCCATGAAATTCATTAGGGAATGTCTACACCGCATCTAGGAGCAAGCCTCCCAGGCCGGGTCCTCAGACTGGTGCTAGCAGGACTCGCACTCGCTATGGCTTGGGTTGGAGCTTGGGCTCTTGGGTCTGGGGAGGGGGAGGGGGAGAGGGAAGGAGGGGCTTGACAGTCCGAGCTCCAGCCCAAGCCACAATGTCAAGGCAACATCTACAGCACACTAGCATGACCCCTGCTAGCGCACGTCCCTGGACCTGGGCTGGGAGGCTGGCTCCTATATGCGGTGTAGACAGACCCTTAGGGACCCCACTATGCAGCTCTACTTTGCCTGGGAAGCCCTTACATACGATGGTGGTGGGCACCCTAGAAACCCTTAAGAGATTCAAGCTTTGAGCCTGCTAATTTACCATACTCTGAAATTACCTCTTTGAAGAAAAAGGCACCCAAAACTAGAAGTTTACACTAGCGCTCCCAGTACCAGTTCTGCCACAGGTCATCTACTGAACCAATTCAAGTAGGATAGGG